TCTCTCTCTCTCTCTCACACACACACACACACACATACACTTTCTTTCTTTGGTTCTCTCTTTTCTATCCCTCACTCTATATACCTCAATAACTATCTGTTTATATATTTTATTTCGGTGTGCCTGTGTGTGTATGTGTTTGTTTGTGCGCATGTGTATAATATATGTGTGCACACCCGCGCGTATCGCTCTTTTCCTCCCTAACTCCTTATTTCCCTTTTTACTAACTTGTAACATGGGAACTGTATGGACATACACAGAGTACTTATACGAAATGAAATACCAGAGTTCTTGTTCCTTAAACAAAATAATCTTTCTCCTTTCTTCCTTCTTTTGTCCTTTTTTCTTTCTTTCATTCTTTCTTTTTTTTCCTTTCCTTCCTTCCTTCCCTTTCTTTTCTTTCCTTCCTTATTTCCTTTCTCCAAAATGTGGATCAGTTACTCCGCTTTCGAAAGCGTTTATTACCTTTCGAATAGAGTATTGCACCTCGAAGAAAATAAAAATGATGTATTTGTGCCTTCATTAAAAAAATTTGTATGAAAGCTAGGTCTCACACAGCTCTCAATAATAAAGGCACATGCGAATAAATTCATAAAAACTCAAAATAGCTCTGAAGCATATCAGTAAAGACATCTGCGTTCAGTGAAATTCCAGCTGAAAGAAAAACAGTTTACTGTCATTGCATGCACCTTTCTTCAATCATTCAGATAGACATAAAAACGTTCCCAGGCAAATTCACGGTCTCGAGAATGAAAGAGCCGTTTCAGAGCCGAAGGCAGCATGAAATGTGTGTTGATAAAGTAAATGCCTTTGGATCTTGATCTACGTGACAAAGAAAGGGAAAAGGTTTAGAAACTGCTCGTCATTTCTTCCCCTTGAAATGGTTTCCAACCCAACCGATGCAATCTGAATGCGTAAAGCATATGTGCCCCCAACATTATGTATGCATAAACGTAAGTGGTATTCACGTGTCAATGTTTGAGATTGGAGGTTGTTGAAACATTTAGATGGCTGTTCTCCTCGCCTGTTTCAATAAAAAGGCGTCGCTTATTGCATTAGAAGGAACGCATTTTCCTACTCGAAGAAAGTAAACAACGAACGAATCTGCCTTTTCGTCTGCTAACGGGAGCTCAGTAGCTCAACAGGTACGGGTTTTGCCTGCCATCAACTTGGAGGTTCTGGGTTCGATCCCTGTCAGTCACAGAAACTCACGGTTCTACGATGTCACTGAAGACAAATCAGACGGACTGCAAAAGTGCAGTGTTCCTATATAATAAGACTTGATTAAAAAAAAAGAAGTATAAATTCAAGAAAGTGTAGATGAAATCCCAGTACCTCAGTGGTTCCTATTTACACCTCTTTTCACGGACACCGATCTATTTAAGCGTCCTGCTTTCCATAACTTTAAAGAAGTGTTACGTTGCTGAGCTCCACTCCTTTTATTTCCCTGTGCTGTTTCTGTCTGCCTCTTTTTCGTCTTCCCTTCATCAAAAAGAGCGTTATTTTTATCAATGTGCTTCTCTAAATCAAACAAACCAAATCATTTTATAGAAAGCACAGTCGCCCGAATCTTAACAACTACGAAAATTTATGTATAGCACTACACATTGTTATTTGATATGTTTTATAATGTCAATGAGTGTGTGTGTGTGTGTGTGTGTGTGTGTCTGCGTGCTTGTGTTTGTGTGTGTTTATGTGTGTATGTGTGTGCGTGTGTGTGTGTGTGTGTGTGTGTCT